CCCAAGAGTAGGGGGGTTTCAGGGGGGCTTGCCCCCCTGACCCAATAAAAACAAGGTGGGGGGTTTCAGGGGGGCATGCCCCCCTGAATTTTACCACAATTTAATGTTTTGCAGTTGTTAGGTTTGACATCTTAGCTTGCCGCGAATCAAACGTATATAGATCTAGATGTAGGTCAGGCTCTATCAAATAAGGGGGGTGGGAACTACCGAAAAAGCGCCAAATAAGGGGGGTGGGAACTACCGAAAAAGCACCGACTCCACTGTACTAGAATCTACTAATAAGTACTGGTTCTGACTTTGAGTAAAATGCATTTATTTAATTTTGTCAACAATGACAATGGCAATGGACTTGGAAGACCAAGCCAAATCCAAAGTTCCAAAGATTGCCTCAGACTCAGACCCTGCAACAGTATTGCAAATGCCAAATGCCTAACCTTTTACTTTTACCGACGACAGATAACGATTCGTGTACGTAGATCCAAATTTAATAACAGTAACTAGATATCTAGATCTAGATTCTAGATCTACTGTCTGTTCACATGTTTTTATTGCAAATGTGGTTGTTGTTCGTTTTGTTGGGCCCTGCTCTGATCTGCTGCACTCGTTGAGCCGACGATTTTTTTTCCACCGGAGTGCACTCCCTTTGCTGGAAAATTTAAGAAAATTGTGTAGGTAGAATAGACCCTAGGGAATTCAATTGTTTGGAGACTTCAACCTAAGACTTCAAATATTTTCGCCTAAAATGTGTATTGATTTTTGTTTTTATATTAATAAAAATGTGTGCTTTTTTTTCTCACATAAAGATAATTCTAATTTGAAATGATGTGACATGACTATACTCAGATCCATGACTTATTACAGTTGTGGAAATAGTGGAGATTAAGCAACATGGCGTCGATGTTCAAGAAGCCGAAGAGGAACTTCAGAAGAAAAGGTTTAAACTTGGATTCAGACAATGAAAATGAAGCTGTGCAGGCAATGGACACTCAAGAACTACCCCCGATGCTGCCTAAAACCGAGAATGATAAAGGAAAAGACGAAAAGAAATCAAAAGGATCATCACGAAACAAGACCGTTGTAAGCTTTGAATTGGAAGGCGAGGACGAGGGTAAGTGTAGTATAGAATCTAGAATCTATATCTAGATTAGATCTAGAATCTAGTAGCCTTGTACAGACTAAAACTAAAAGTAGATTTTTATAGCAGAAGACGAAGACAGAGAAGATCATGATTTAGTTCTAGATCTAGAGTACGGTTGCCCCTTACCAGCCGCCTAACGCGCGTCTGTGGCTTGTCCCGGAAGTTTGGGATAAAAACTGACCCAGTTACCACAAATTGAACCCCATGTTGTAAAAAGATGTTGCAAAATAATCCTTGGCCTTTGGCCGATAAGAGGCAGCTGCCAGATTGGTTCTTTAGAGTTATGTTTGTACAATAAGACATAGAATTTTGAAGGACCCCAGTGTTGCCCCTTACCGGCCGATCGGTGGAGTATTTGCCTCTTACCAGCCACCTGTTTCCCCTATACCGGCCACATTATATAAATATCAATTATACACAAAAGTAACGAACTAACCTCCATCCATTGACCTCCACGTTGTTTGTCATGCACTCAGTCACCAGCACCAACATTCCTCCACAGCTGTGTTCTTATATTGAGGTAGATCTTGCTTCACAAACACACTATCTGTCACACCATTCACACCCTGCCATCCCCACTTTCAAAGCACAACATTGTAAAATGGTAATTTACACTAATTTACAGCTAAAAAAGCAGCGAACTATAAGTGGTAACAAGAAAAACTGTGAACTGGAATGTATTTGATTAAAATGCAACAAGAAAAACAACGAAGTATCTTTTTACTAAAAGACAACAACAACCAAAAAAAACGAGAGCTAACAATTTGAACAAAATAAAAATCTGCAGGCTCTCATTCTCATGGCATACACACATCACAAACAAACGTAAATTCACTCACTTCCTCCTCAGTCATACCCGCAATCAGTTCCATCTGTGCCCCTGAACAACTTCTGTGGTACCATCTGTCACACTGATCACATCCGATCCATCCATCCAAGTCCCTGTCATTCCCACATTCAAAACACAGACTCTCATCATACTCAGACCTCATGCGCTCAAGAACGTCCATGCATTCCTCATCTGAACTGTCCATGTACTCAATTGCATCACTCTGATCACTTTCTCCCTCATTCTCCACAACCTCAGTCTTCCTCTTCTTGCAGCCCTTTCCTTTCTTGTTGACAGCACTAGCCTTTCTTTTTGCCTCTCTTTCCTTGTCCTTTTTCTCTTTGTATGCCAATCTTTCCAGTCTCTTTTTCTCTTTCTCTGCATCTTTTTCTGCCTTCTTTCTCGCCCTTTCTCTCTTCCTATCTTCTACAGCTGCTTTCTTTTCCCTTTCCTCTCGTTCTTTTCCCTCCTCAAACTCCTTGTACTTTTCTCCTGAAACATATTTTGGGGGCTGAATCCTGTGTCCTGCATTTTTTGTGGAACTTTTCTGGGGCAAGGGGAGGTTGTCGAAAGTGGGAGGGGGGACAATGGCTTCATACAGGTCTAAATATTTCTTATAGACAGTGTCCTCTGGTCCTGGGGGAATGTTCCGCCATTGACGTCTCCTGATGTTGTACATGTCCGAGGCAGACCAACCAGTTGAAATAATAAAGTCAACAAGTTGGTCCACCGCCATGGCGATGTTGCTGGGCCCGGACGAAGACGACTTTGCAGGTGTGAGGTTGACATTGACAGCTGGGAAGTTGACGGGTGGCAGGTCGGCGGCCGGAAGTTCAACGGGTGGGAGGTTGACAGGTGCGAGGTCGACGGCTGGAAGGTCAACGTGTGCGAGGTCGACGGCTGAAAGGTCGACGGCTGGAAGGTCGACGGCTGGAAGGTCGATGGGTGCGAGGTCGACGGCTGGAAGGTCGACGGGTGCGAGGTCGACGGGTGCGAGGTCGACGGGTGGAAGGTCGACGGCTGGAAGGTCAAAGGGTGGAAGGTCAAAGGGTGGAAGGGCGACGGCTGGAAGGTCAACGGGTGGAAAGTCAACGGGTGGAAGGTCGACGGGTGCGAGGTCGACGGCTGGAAGGTCGACGGCTGGAAGGTCGACGGGTGCGAGGTCGACGGCTGGAAGGTCGACGGGTGCGAGGTCGACGGGTGGAAGGTCGACGGGTGCGAGGTCGACGGGTGGAAGGTCGACGGGTGGGAGGGCGACGGGTGCGAGGTCGACGGGTGGAAGGGCGACGGGTGGAAGGGCGACGGCTGGAAGGTCGACGGGTGCGAGGTCGACGGGTGGAAGGGCGACGGGTGGAAGGGCGACGGCTGGGAGGGCGACGGATGGGAGGGCGACGGCTGGGAGGGCGACGGCTGGAAGGGCGACGGCTGGGAGGGCGACGGGTGTGAGTTCAACGGAAGGGGGGTCGGTGGGTGTGAGATCGACGGAAGGGGGAGCGATGGCTGGGGGGTCAACTGCAGAGAGAGATGGTGACGAGCTAGGGGCAGCTGGATACTCCCCGTAGACCCGACTTGCATGACATTTTGAGTAGTCAGGCCTGTCAGGGTTCCACGGGGAGAGACCAGCTGCCTCGAACGCGTGAGCCATTTTCTCTGGGGTATGAGCCTTGAGCCATGCCTCCTTAAACACGATGGCAAAGGACTTTCTAGTCACAGAGCCAATGTTGGAAATCCGCTTGAAGTCCCGGACGCTCTCTCTCCAATGGTGCTTTAAAACACCATAGAAGATGAGGTCTAGCGGCTGCACCACGTGAGAAGCATGGGCCGGTAAAAGGTAATATGTAATGCGATGCTCTTTGCAGAAGGCATGGACTTCCATGTTTACATGGCTCTGGTGACCATCTGCAAAGAGCACCACAGGTCTCGGTAGGTCACGGACGGCTGGCTCAAACACATTTCTGAGCCAAGTCAGAAAGATTTGTGAGTTGACCCAGCCGTTGGGCGATAGATCAAAGTGAGCCTGGGAGAAGTCGTCCCACGGGTGGTAGGTCCACCTAGCTCCAGGGAAAATAATAAAGGGTGATAAGATCTTCCCTCCAGCGGACCCGGCACACAGAACAGTGATTTGCTGTTTGGTGTCGGATCCGATGGAGTAAGGGTGTTTTTGTTTAACGTCGGTAAGGACAACGGCGCCCTGTTGGAAAAACGGGAACCCACTTTCGTCCACGTTAAAAACATTATCAGGGGGGACCGTCGTGATGTCAATCCCCTCCCCCTCCAGAGTCGTCCTCACCTCCCTAAACCAACTTTTAATTTTCTCTTCAGATACCTTCGCCCTCTGCTCTCCTAGCACCATGGTCTTTCTTGGCCGGATGTTGGGGTGGCGGGCTAGGAAACTGTAATACCACTTGTTGCCTGGCTTGTTGTCCTTGAAGGGTGTGTCTCGCCCCTCCGAATTCAGAATCCTCTGAATGGCAAGACACACCTCTTCCTTCCCTTGCCCACAGCCGCGAGCACCACTTTCAGTTATCCACTGCACCACCTTCTCCTCCTCCTCTTCGGACAGTACGGTCCGACTTTTGGGCTGAACAGGGTAAAACCCTTTTAACTTGTCCCCCAAAGTTGCCCTAGGGACACGGAAGTGGGAGGCTGCTATCCTCTGGGACATTATCCCAGCCTGGCAGGCATTTACAGCTGCCTCCATATCTTCTTGGCGGTATTGCTTCCGCTTTTGTTTTTGCTGATCCATTTTTCTGGGACGGCTGGAAAGTGGTGGGGGGGGGGGGGGTTAGACACAGCAATTTAAAAATAGGAAGGAGAACTATACATGTAGATCTAGATCTAGAGGCATTCATTAAAGAGCATAGAACAGGAAGGATAAGGAGAACAAGACATTTTTGTAGAGGTAAAATTATTCCATTTCAATCATCTCAGTCAACAAACACGTGACACGCACAAAAAAAATTTCATATAACGATTTTCGTACATCACTACAAACGAAAAATATTATTACTAGATCCAGAACTATCCATAATAGATGAGTTAAGAATGGACTGTTAAGTTTATTGAAAGATATTTGGAGCAATTTAACATTAAAGATCTCTATAACTCATCAATGTGCTTTTATTTGACTTATTTTTAAATGGCCGGTATGGGGCAATTACAGCGAAAAAAGTTTCCCGCAACCGGCCACCCCACTCGTATGGCGGGAATTACGTTTTCAGCCATTACGTGCTAATAGACAAGCCAAGCAGACAACTAAAAATGGCTTTCTTTCACAAAAGACTGGTACTGAAGGAAATACGAATGCTGAAACCTTATTGGCTGACCCGCGTGGCCTTATTCAGAGTGATAACAAATGGCGGCTGCACTCACCTGGATATGTTTTCAGCTGCGAACAACGAAATGAATTTCTGCTTCAGCGCTCCTGTGATGGCGGACGTGTGGTAGGGTAAACAAACAATGCGCAGGTGCAACGAAACTGACCAATTAAAACCATTGTAGTCATAAAAGATCGATTTTATTGGCACGGAGTCCAGTCTGAGTTCGAATCGGCCGGAAAGTGGGGAGCGGCCGGTAAGGGGGGACCGTACTCTAGATCTATATCTAGATCTAGTTGTGGATCGACTTGGATGCAACTGGGGGGAGGAGTTCGGCAGAGGGCTGGGCGCTTTTTCGGTAGTTCCTACCCCGCAATTATTATTCGCCGGTTTTGGCCTCAAGACAAGAGTAGGAGTAGGGGCAGGGGTGTTTCAGCTTGCATCCCTGAGCAAAAAATATGGTGAGGGGGTTCAGGCAGTTCAGGGGGGCATGCCCATCGCTAAAGAGGTCATCCCATCACTAAAGAAAGCGGATTTCACGGTGTAACTTTCACCTTACTTACACTGTAAGGGTGTGAGAGACAAGTTTGTGTTATAATAAGATTCTCCTGTTGTACAGTTTTGTGTTCATTAATCATGTTGTGTACTTTTGTTTGTTTGAGCCGAATAAACACGAGAATAAAAAACAAAAGTTGACTTTGTTTTTTTTGTTTGATATTTTGGTTAACAGTGTCATGGATGTAAGGATTTAGACTTATTGTGTTTCCCGATGTTCGCGAGTCTGACTATTTTCGTTTTAATTGACATGCTAGATTTTTTTCAAA